CAGAGCTCAAGCAGTAGATACATCTTTTAAATAAAGTCCTTCACATATGAATACATACTCTCTTTGAAGTAATTATCAATCTGAGATTATAGACAGTGTGCAGACTTAAGCAGGGAGTAGTACCTCTGAGCTAGGTGAAATACTATGACCCCAAGACAGTAAAATCAGACAGATAGTTTGAAGTGAATTATCAATCATTTTCCATATTGCTCAGGAGAGCTTGGAGTGCTTCTCTTTTGTCAGGACCTCCTAAAGGAAAAGCCAAGCAAAAGCTCACAAAGCTGTCTTTTAAAGTGCAAAATGTGCAACATCCTGTGATTCTCCACATTCCCCAGAGGTAGGGAAGTCAAAATCAAAGAATACACTTGGCAAGACAAGTTGTCCATGAAATTCTCTTGATGAATTCTTTCATATATAGAACAGTTGCATCCTTGACTCCTGAGTGCTTCTAAGAAAAAAAAGATTTGGCCCAATAATATCTAATAACATTGGAGAGAAAACTTTGTTAATTGAGAAAGGGTTAARAAATGGGTTTTCTAACATGACTGGGAGAAAAAGTCTTATATGGACATGTTATGAATAAAATTGAAACCTAGTAATCAAACTGATTGCTTACTTCAAATCAGGTTTTTTTTTTTTGGCAGTTTTATATACATTGAAGGCACTAGACTGTATCTATGAGCATTAATGAAATCTGTAAAAAATAGCTTCTTTTTGAGTAGTCATGCATAGATTAAGATCCTTTGACACAGCACTGTCTCCTCAAAGCATCAAAAATAAACATTCAAGAGATTTACTGTAAATTGTTGTTTTAAACTAATCTACTTTCAGTTCTTTTTATTTAGCTTCTCAWTGCTAAATGTTTATGCTATATGAGAGAGTTTAAAATTGTCTGCTTTTTATTTCAACCATGTGAAACCCTAGAGGTTCAGAAATGACAGCTGAGAGCCAAGGTTGTGACTATACCCGGCTTGGACTTTTTCCACTCTTTCCTGCAGCTTGATGGCCATCTCTCCTGTCCACAGCTCCTACCTGGGACATGTTCCTAGGGTTTCTTGCCATGCAGAGGAGGCCATGGGTGGATGCTGCTGCACCACTGAGCCTCACCCCACCTGCAGTCAGGATGTGGCTTCAGGCATCAACCCATATCAGGAACTCAAAYAGGCCCCTGGGTTCCCTAGACTAAACACAGTCAAAATCTGTAACCTGAATTAAGACAAATGGTCTCCATAAAAAGGTGTTAGCTTCAAAACTCATGAATCTTAAAGGAGGATATGCAGAGCAGTATATTATACTCATCTTTAGTAGCTTCAGCAGGAACYCCTGACAATCCCAAAATCATCATATATATTATGGGCTAAAAGGTATTTCAGTGGAAATAAGAAAAATAGTCATAAAAGAGTCAGAGAGAAACTTTCAGGCAAGAAAAAACACCAGTCTTGTCAGTGATAACCAAATCATTTCTCTAAAATTGGCTCTGCATGAAGATGCTTGTTCACATCTACGGACATCACTGACCAAGAACTAAAATGCTTTCGACAAGTCATCTGACCCTTTCTTTCTCTCCTACAGTTTTTTTTTTTATCTACTCAGAAATTCAAAGTCAAACCACAAATGATCTTAACAATAGGATATAGAGAACTGGAGCAAGTTTTATTTTGACCATGCCTCAATGGCCTCATAGCTCTGAAACGGAAACCAGAACACGCCACCAGAATGAGGCAGCATGTGGAAGGAAAGAGCTGGGGGGAAATAAACAGCAGAAAATAGCAGAGGGGATAAAAAATGGGTTTTSGTTCGGAACATACAAGATGAAGAAGTTGCTTTTTATTTATAAGCAGAAATGGAGAATTACGCAGTCATATTGGGAGAGGATGAGAGAGAYCAACCCAAAMTAAGCCACARCAGTYRCAGTTGGAGGAAATTATGTTGCAACAGTCAGTGACATTTAGAAGACCTACCCAAGCATTTATAGCGCCTTTCTCAAAAYTACAATGGCATTTTGAGCATCAAAACTTTAAAATAGAAATGCATGTATATTCTGTAAACCATCCTGCCAAGGGAATTTACTGCAATACCYGTGCTAGGTAATAGTGCCAGGAATTCATCCCCTGTCTTTCGCGGCCAAATACAGGAAAATAAAGTTAGTGCCTATCTATGCAATCACAAAAGTGAGAGTCTCTGTGGATGTGGGTTCTTAAAACATCAGATAAGAAAATATAGTTTAGGTAAAAGGCTTCAATGATGTCGCTCCAGAGGACCAGTGTTGTGGGAGCACCTCTGCAAACACCTCATCCAAGACTTCAAAATGCATTCTTCTGGGACACCATTATGGCCCTGGGCCCTGTCCCTCAGCTGGGCAGTGCAGGTTGGTCCAGGCTTCCAGGGGATGCCTCAGCAGGCAGCAGCACAATCCCACTGCCCCCAGATGTGCCAGGGAAAAGGGAGGTGACACAGGCATCCCTCGAAACAAATCTCTATCTACGTAAAATGACCTTTGTGGCTGGGGAGGAGAGTTTCCTGTTAACCATCACTATGGGCAGGATGACACCCTCATGGCAAAACAAATCCCAGTTCCTCTTTGGCCTTATCCAAATGARCACATTATGACAAAGAGGGGCAGTTGCTGGGGTTACAATTACAAAAATAGCGTGACATTATGTTTGCTGCACGGTTCAAACCCAACACCGCCTCCAGGCTCTCCCRGGGCTCCTGAAGAGGAAGGCAGGGTGTTTCCTGCAATGGGGGTTAGTCAGGYCCTTCCCCCCTCCAGCCTGGGCCCCCAGAGACACCATTTGGGGCTGATGAGTAAGGCTGGAGGGATGGGGAAGCTCCTGCTCCTTGCCCTGTCCCTGGTGCAGGTCTGCAGGGCCACCCTGCCAGCTGGACACTGTRGAGTGTCCCTGTCCATATGGGCTCTACAAAGACCATATAGAGGATCGGTCCCAACATGGGCCAGGAGTTCAGCCTCCAAAAACACCTGCTGGGCAAAAAGGAGAGGCCTAGGGGGACTTAGCCATGATCTTCTTTATTTAAAGTTTTTCTCTAGTGGTTTTCCTGTGTTGTTGCACCTAAACACACATTCTCAGCAGCAGGACAGATGGCCAGATAGGCTCACTTGGAGGGAAACCAGAAAGAGCTAAGCAGGTGCCACAAAATCTCATGAACAAGTCTTGTGCAATGAGGATTTTCTTAGGAGTAACTTCTTGGCAGGAGTACCAGTCCAAGAGTCACACACCCTGTTCCTCCCACCCTGTGCTGCACCGTCACAAACATCTGTGCACCAATTCAAATTAAAGGCCTGATGCAGCTAAAACCCCCTATTTTGGTGACTTTTTGCTGGATTGTTTGTAGTGGAYTCCTTCCCCAGTCCATGTCACTGCACAGCCACACAAACACAGGGACTGGCAGATGACCGGGATGAGAAATCCTGCGTGAGTCAAACTGTCACCAAGCCCTGAGCTCACGGGACTCGGGGACTGCCCAGAGCACGAGGCATCAGCAGCCACCCCTGCCCGGGTCCAGGGAGGTGACAGCCCTGCAAGGACAGCACTGGGCACTGCAGAGCTTCACACCTGTACCTGTGGCTGAGTCAGGAAGGAATAAGGCGAAACGAGCACGGTGCTGCAGGTGACAGGCTGCCACCAAAGATCCTGAAGGGACACAGCCTGGGATTTCTGAGACAGCCAGGCAAGAGGCAGTTGTTGTGTAAGGGRAAACCCTGCAAGAGCCTACTGAGCAAATCTCTTATTCTGGTATGTGTTCAGATAAGTGGAAAAATTATATAAGCAAAAGTGAAAGTGACACAGCAATTTATTCAGAGMCAATTATTCACATTGTCAGAGTGTGAATTTTAATKAATTCAAAATTAATTTTATTTTCAAATTTACGTTAAGGGAGTAAAAATGACCTTCAACATTATATGATTCCCTAAAGCCCACAAACTTTCTAAGATACCCCAAAAAAGGCAATTTGTACATTATCAGCCCACCCTATAAAAATACTGTATTCAAATATCAAMTGATTTCCATGCTGAAAGCTCAGAGACTAAAAGCAATAGTCAAGATCAGAGAGATACTGCTATCAAAGACACAAATCTCATGGCAGGATATTTCCCCAGAGTCACCTGCACTADCCAGGAAAGTCTGTTTTGCTACTTCAGTTTCACAAGAGAGAACTTTAGTCAGTAAAATCTGGGGAGAATTCCATGTGAAAACCTAGCCAAGTGGCAACAAGAATCTCACCAAGAAATATCTTTGTGTGTCCTCAAACCATGTGCTTATCAAAACATGTGAATATGATGCAGATGTATACTTTTTAAAAAAATAACTACTAGGTTTCTTCCCTAGAAAAGCCTTAGCTAATAAAATAAGCTGCAGGGAGGCCAAAGATACAGAAGGAGAGCAGTAAGAGCCACCCTCCAAAGGTGCAGAATTCAAATAAATCAATTCTTTGGGATAAAGGCTGGATGTGAACTGCCTACATTGCRCCTCAGAAGCAACCAGCTGCCTCCAAAGTTCATCTTTAAGGAGGAAAATATGGTAGAGCTCAAGACTAAGCAAAAAGTCCCAGGCTCAGAAATATCAGAGCCATAAAACAGTCAKCTGCTTGCATCTTCAGTGGGAACATCCTTGTTCCGTGTCCCTGGAAGGATCAGGGTTTTCTCTTTCCTTAGTCTAAGAAATAGGGTGAGAAACTTTTTTTCTTYAGTTACATTCAGAAGAATGGGGATAAGATGATAGTTTAACTTTTGCTGGAGAGCCTCTGGGAAAGGAAAAGTTCCCACGCAGCACGTTCCCACCTGGCMCAAATTAACCAAAAGTGTAAAGGCGAGGGGAGGAGAAGAGGAACCAGGCGCCTGCCTCTCTCCCCGCAGCCGGCGAAGGTGACAGCGATTGGGTCACCGTCCCCGCTGGTCTCATCCCCATCCGAGCGCCGCTCCTCACCTGCCCCGAGCCGGCAGCTCCGGCAGCTCCCGGGAGGGGCGGACCCGCGGGGCCCCGCGTCCCCATTCCCAAAGGCTCCTCCTCGGCTCCCGGCCCCGAACCACCTGCGAGCACCCGGGCGGGGCGGGGCCGGTCCGAGCACCGGGTCCCTCCTCTGCTGTGCCTGCGGCCGGCACGGGAGAGGCTCCGGCGGCGCTGCACGGCACGGCGCGGCACGGTACGGCACGGTACGGTCCCGGCGGGACCCGCGGAGCCTCCGCCGCGCTCCGAGCGGCCCAGGGGGAGCCGAGCCCTGCCCTGCCCTGCCCGGGGAAGCGGCGGTGCCGGCCCAGGGCAGCGAGTCCCGGCGGGGCAGCGCTCACGGGCATGGACAAGCTCAACAGGCTGACGGTGCCGGCCGGCGAGAAGTTCAGGTAGGAGCCGCTCCGGGAATGGGCTGCTCCGGGGGGAGCGGGAGGCGCCGAGGCACGAGGAAGTTGGCAGAAGTTTTGGAGCAAAACGGAGTTATCACCGGTGGCCAGGGCGCCGCAGGGAAGTGCGGGAGGTAAACACGGGGCTGGGGTGGATAATAGGACACAGATTTCGAAGTAAAATGTGTGTCGGCTTCACCTGCGGCATAAAGTGGAATATTTTCAAAGTGTCTGTTTTCAAATTTGTAAGGATATAGTGTGTGACTCATTAAGATGTATGAGTCTTATGTAAATTAGAAAAACTTAATTAATTGCTTAATGCTTTAACGTCCTATGAAGCTTTTGCAGTTAAATTCTGTAATATTTCCTAATCTTCGAAAGAACTGGTGCAATAGAGGGAGCTGGAAAACGGGAAATGTTCCTAAGTGAAGGAGAACAATGTTAAATACAGGGTTTGAGAGGAAAAAAGCAGAAGCTGGCCATTACTGAAGTATTTTTAGTGTGTCYTGATTGGCGTGCTTGGTACAGTTGGCACCTCAAGGCTCTTTCATCACGACTTTTTGGTTTTTCTGAATAGTTAAAAGAAGTTCTGTTTCACATTGAAGTAACATGGAATTTTTTTCTTCCTCTGAAAAATAAGAATGAAGTACTGAAAAATATTTTTCCCTACAATAAWTCATACTTAAGCACTCAATGCTAATTTATGAACCCTTCTCAAGTCTCTCTCCTTCTACCCAGAAACCCTTATGCAAACCGGAATAAGCACTTGTAAAGCTAATTTTGATGGAATGCAGTTTCTTGATATGGACTCTTTCCATGCTGTTGAAATGCTGGTGGGGGGTGTGTACTTGCAGAGCTGCAGTGACGCTTATGTTCCTCAGCCAGGCACATCTCATAAAAGCCTAGCAGGCTGCATTCTACAGCCCAGGCAAGAGCTCTGTGAAAGGCTCAATGGACAGGGGGAAGAWCGCAGTGAATTTCCTCACTGTCTGCAATTTACCACCTTGAGTTGTCTAAACCGGTTTAAATGGTGTCAGAGCTCAATGTTGGTCTAAGCTATCTTTAAATAATAAGCTGAGAAACAAGATGGAAAGCTTGATTCCATCATGACAGTTATTGGTACATAAAAAATAAGTACACGCTCTCTGGTGTCATAAAATTATAGCTGGGATTTATCTTCTTCACTTTTGCAAACAATTAAAGCAGGATTACATTCAAGTATACAAAGGGGGGGGAGGGGGTCTGTTGTTTGTAATGAGCCCCAACTTCTTTGTGAACTGATTGAAAAGCCCTAAACCCGACAGGCAGCGCCACACGTCTGCTGCATCTTCGCATAGATGACACTCTTCATCTTGCCAGTGGTTTTAATATTGTTTTAAAATAGGGAAGAGAAAGAAGTAGATCTGCCTTCCTTTATTAACTTGAAGCATTAAAAGTTAGTTTTCCTCTCATCCTCATGGTCAGTTCAGCCTAGTCATGCAGGGAATGTAGGAGCACATTTCTCAAGCAGGTGARCATTCTCACCACACGCAGTGGACACGAATGCATGCTTCGATTTGAGCATGTGGAAGTACTCCTTAAAAATTTGAATAYCTGGCTACAAAATCTTACTGTGGTATCAGAATTTGAAAATTTTAAGGCAGAGCTTTCCATGAGTAGATACTTACAGGATAAATTTAAGAGAGATGTGCATATRTAGGAAGAGATCAGCATCACATGGCAGCAGCCTTTTCCTCCTTCTCTGAAACAGCTGGATAMCCCCTCTTACTCTGTCTCCTGTTGACAGTGCAGTTGACTTCCTAATATCACCTCTGKCTGTATGGAACACACAAAGCTGGCTCAGAGTTTGTACTGAAATATTATGTGAACTAAATGGTTATGTTAAAAACGTACTTTTCTTTACATATGCTAAGATGCAATGCCAAGAAACGTTCCTGCCAAACAGTTTGAACTGAAGTGATTATAGTTTGAGTTTTTTAAAGACAGCTTCCTTAAAATTTCTGCTTTGTAGCAGCAAAAATTTAAAGAGCACTACTGTTGACTCAGTGTCTGAGAGTGGATCTTTGGATTTTTTTAAGTGTAGACCTGAGAAACTAGATATTATGTGGTTTTGCTRAGCTCAACTACTCTCCATGGGTATAGATGAGCCTACCAGACCCAGCTTTTGATTGCATTAGCAAATCTTATGTCAGATCTGAATTCTTAGCCTGTTCCATTTGTTAAGKTTCTTGCAACATAAGACCTATAAGTTTTCTTAGATGCCTGTCTACCTAACAGGTACATTGTTTGCAGTTGTCACTCAACTAACTTCAGTAACAGTTGGACAGGAATGCTGGAACTTCATGGAATTCCAGCATTCATTTTTATATAATGTTTCCTTATAATATGCACAGTATTCTACAAATATTCCCTCAGAGTACATTGTGTGTTCTAACTGCTTCCTTATAGTCAGGAAAAATTAATTCAAAAGCTTGGTTATCTATTGTGAGAAAAACTMATCTGTGGTGCAGACAAGTAATTTGGTTTTTTGAATAATTTCCCAAAGTGTGGAGTGAATACATGAGCAATGTCCATGCTGCCATGGCAAGCTCAAATGTGTCTGAATTTCAGACTGAACTTCAGGGAAAAAAAAATTATGCTGCGGACATACAGAAATAGATGCACTCATGATCAGGGACAGTTGGCAGCATGGGTAACAGGAAGTTGGCAGCTCAAAAGAAAAGTCTGCACTAACCTTGCAGACTCTTTTGTAGTTCAGCTTCCCAAGACTATGAGCCTGTGATTCCTGGTATTTAAATAATTTCTAGCTACTATATGCTACTGTGTCATCTCTTCAGACTCGCTGCATTTTTTTTATTATGACCACAAACCTTAATGGTGACCCTCTGCCCGTAGCTGGCTTCAGCTGTGTAGCACAAAGTCCTTTTCAAAGGCATCATCACCATTGCAGTGACGGGCAAACTGTGGCACAATCCAAAATGTGCAGACAGCAAATTCCAGACTGCAAATAGACTTTTCCAAGAGCACAGTTTCATGTTAATTTCAGATTATTTCATTAATCTGCAGCAGTCCTTCTCTGCCCTCAACAAAAACAAAGGCCTAAAATCACTGTCTTCAAACAGAACTCCCATTTTAAAGGAAGTGGAAATAAACTGGCAATTGTTTTTTCTCAGGTTGAACAAGTGAGGCTGGGTTTTTTTTGCAGGATTTTGTGTTAGTCTCCCTTGTTAAACAGATGGGTTTAAGTCCTAGTTCTATGAAAAGCAAGAGGGGTTTTCTTAAGGCACGTGAAATCATAGTTCAGTGGTTTGCATTTGTCAAAGCTGAATTTCACAGGCATGGGGAAAGCAGGTCATCATCTACATTTGCTCTTCTGATAAGCACAAACAAAAGTTCTTTCTCTAGGATTGTTAGGTCCTGATTGCCATACAAAGCACAGGGTTGCAATTAAAAGATAAAGTTTTATAATCTCTATTTCTAGTTTTCTGTCAGTTTAAACAGTTCATAAATCTCTSTCATCTCTGGACTTTGGAATGAATGAGATGGGAAATGCAAACTTCCTGAAATACCACTGCAAAAATCCATTCTTTCACTCAGTGTGACTTCTCCAGTCAAATCCTCTTGCTTCTCCCTCTGACCTTGCTTCAGCACTGCACAGCCTCTGTCCTGTCTATATTTGTCCTTCTTTATTCCCTTCTCTCTGCACAACCATTWCAACCAATCCCTTTAAAGCTTCTTTTCTTCTTCCCAGCTATGTCATCCTACCTGGACCAATCTCCAAGCTAGAAAAACAACCAACTGAAAAAACCAAACCTGAAACACACTAATTTTTACAAGACAAATACAAAAAAAAGTAAAAAACCCACCCCCAAACTGAAGGCAAAAGAAAAACCAAACTAAATCACCACACAGGATTTATTCTCACACAGGATTTCCTGCCTATAATGCTGTTTATAGAAAAGTATGTTGAAGTGTGACTGTGATCTAATGTGTTTTAAACAAAAATATGGCAATTTGGACAAAATGATGGAGTGTAATATTGAARGCATCAAGAGATGCCCTGCTTTAATCTCTGTATGTAGGCASCAGTGTAAGAGTGTAATCTGTTCACAAGATCAGCTGTGCTTCTTTAATACCTAYAGCTTTGTTCTACTTGTGCTGGCAGAATTGTTCAGTCATTGGCATRGCTTATTCTACCACTGCTCCATATTCACAMTGTTCCAAATAAAATACGGCCTTGTAGTGACATTGTAGCTCTGCCAAAATAACTGTCCAGAGCAGGAGCATTTGTCAACCATAACAATCACAAATGACACCATCCTTGGCCTGTGACTGTCAGTTATTCGGCAAAAATGAGTAATTTATATTTGATCTAATGACTTGCTTTTTTTCAGTAAAATAATAAATTATCAATAGCCAAGCCATCTAACCAATAAATTAATTTTCATGGCCATTGGAAAAAAATCCAGTATTCTGACRAATTTGGCAAAACAGCTTTTTACCATTAGCTTATAAATATACCCCATACAGCTGTGTAGARTGCTAGATATTAAATCATAATAAGACATTGCAGGTACCCAGTGATATACTGACYCCAGAACAGAACAGTTTTGTGTTTTACAGAATCATTCAAAACCTACATACTGCACAGGACATTAAAATGTGATAGATGCTTTGCTTTAGAAAGGCAAATATGACGATCATAAATTGTTGCAAAAAAAAAGCCCTACTGGAAAACCRTATTAGTTTATATGCTCAGCAGACAACAGAATTGAAAAATTGACAGAAAACAGTGGCCAAAAGGGACAATATTTTCCCATTTGACTCTAGGGTACCATCTTAGATCCTTGGTAAACTGTAAAAGGACTATTCATACTATRTAAATATATTTGGTTTGTGCCAGCAGTAATAAATGACTGAGGAGTAACAGAAGCTTGAAAATTCTGTTAGCATCTTTATCCTAATCTGTTAGTGTACACATTTTGGACAAGCTCATTTTCCAG